CTCCGCTCTGCCTGCCCCTTGCCGATGCCGCCGCCCACCCCCCCCGCCCCGCTCGCGTACCCCGATTTCACTAAACCCTTCGTTTTGGATACCGATGCCAGCGACATGGGCATCGGGGCGGTCCTTTCCCAGCTTATCAAGGGAACAGAGAGAATCGAGTCCTGTCTCCTGCCGAGCAGCGCTATTGCGTCACGCGCAGAGAGCTACTGGCCATGGGCCACTTTATTCAGCTCTATCGTCCTTATTTGTACGAACGAGACTTTGTAGCCCACGCGGACCATGCGGCCCTCCAGTATTCCCTGCGCATTGACCAGCCATCTGGCCAGTTGTTCCGATGGTTCGAGATCCTCCAGGGATTCTCATTCATGGTGGTGCACAGGAAGGGCACCCGGCACGTCAGCGCTGACGCCTTGTCCCGGCTGCCGCCCCATGCCGCATGCACGTGTGCTTCAGGGGCATCGAGATGTAAGCCCCCACAAGGGGAGGCGCCCATGGTGCTCGCGGAAGCAGGGACAACGCAGGATACGGGCGCTGAGTCGCCACATGATTCTATTATAAATCTCGACCACGAGACGTGGGCAAAGCTGCAGTTTGATGATGCTTCGTTGTTGACGTTGCACCGGCGTGCTTCACGGGGCCCGGGTCCTGCAGGTCGCCCTTCCATCGTGCTGCGGGAGGGAATCCTCATGCGGTGGGAGGGGGAGTCCCAGCGATATGCTCTGATCATACCCAGGGTCCTTAGGGGCAAACTTACAAAGGCTGTACATGAAAAGTTAATGCATTTTGGTATGCATAAAACGTTGGCGACGTTGAAAAAGGACTTTTACTGGCCCAGAATGGAGAGTGATGTCTTCCTTCTGATTAAAAGTTGTGTCGATTGTGCGCGTCGGAAAATAGCAGATTCCGCTGCAGTCTATTGTTGTGTCACAGGTGAATTAATTGGTTGCCCTGGACATTTTGGGTGTCTTCCCGGTCTCCCGGAGAGGGCACAAATACCTCCTCGTGGGGGTCGAATATCTGACTCATTGGCCTGTGGCATGGCCCTTGGCTGACCAGTCAGCTGCGTCTATAGCCGACACCTTTGTGAACGGCAATGTTCTGGATAAGGGGGCCGCGGAGCAACTGCTCACAGATCAAGGTAGGAATATCTCCTCCAAATTGCTCCAGGTGTGCGATTCCTTGGGTACGCGGAAAATACGCACCTCACCGTATCATCCACAGACTGATGGGATGGTTGAGCGGTTGCATAGAACCCTCACCGCTATGCTATGCCAGCAAGTGACTGAGGGACAGTCGGATTGGGATCTGCACATCCCGGGGGTACTTGCGGCTTACAGACACGGGGTGCTCACCATTTTATTTGATGTATGGGAGGGAGCCCGAACCCCCTGTGTAAATTCAGTTGGGACTGAGCCCCCCGCGGAAAAGTTCAGCAGTACCTGACCCCATGTTGAAAACACTGGAGCAGCTGCAGTTGGTCCGTGAAGCCGCTACGGTCAACTCGGCCCACAGACAGACCTGTAAACGAGCGGCTGAAGGGTCATGAAGGGCCCGGAATACCGTGGCAAGTGGGGGACAGGGCTTGGCTACATTGCCCCCAGGTGCCTGTGGGCACGTCTCCGAAACTGTACCGTCCCTGACACGGGCCCGTCGAGGTCACTGAGGTTCGGCGGCCACAGTGTGTGCATATCCGTTTGGGCCGGCGGTTTTGGTTTGTGCATCCTTCGCGGTTAAAAACATACGTTCCGTCCGTCCGGTCCGGTCGATTCATCCCCACATCCCTGCCGGCCGGTGTCTGATGCATCTGGTACGACAACCACCATGCCTAAAGTAACAGACCATCAGGAGGAATGTTCTGTACCGCCTGCAGGGCCGGAGGACCTAAGGACCACGGACAGAGCGTTGCGGACTCCCTCATCAGACCACTCATCACACTCAAGCGGACCCGTCTCTACCCGCAGGGATGGGCCTGCTGCACACACCCGTTCACGGCGTGTCGTTTTTCGCTATTTCCCCATTCCCTTGTTATTGTTCATGGTTACTGCTTATGATTGTCTTGTAGTTTGGGGTCGGTCCCTGGTCACTATAGAGTTGTGTTAGGGGTTGTCACGTTGCGTGCGCGCGAGGGATGTATATTAGAGCCGGGAAGGCTGCGTTTTTATTCGTGGGGGGGGGACGATATAGTGTGGTAAAATATGCGGTGCGCACTGCTGCCCGAGGGTAACCGAGGGCAGGCAGGTGCGCGTGTGCAACGTAAGGTTGCACGTGCAAACCGCCACCTCTTTAACGGGGCGATTCGGTTGCAGATGGGGTCGGTCCGGGGTCGTACACTGGCACCGGAGGTGTTGCCTAGGAGACATGCGATAAGGAGTGATTGATGGCCTGATAGGCGCCAGCCTGTGTGTGAGAGCGAAGCGGGAGTTCGGGTTCTGGGACCAAGGTAAATACATCTCGCCACTGCCGCTCAATCCAGGGACAGACCTCAACCCTCATGAGTCGACGGGCGGGTGATGGTTGATCCCCCCACCCGGATCGGACGAGTGAGTGGGTCTGAGAGAACGTAGGCGAGGGCAGCGGCGCAGAGGGATAGCAGCTGTGTGCAAGATCTGTGTGAGCGAAGCTTCTGTGTGAGCGAAGCCTCTGTGTGAGCGCTGCTGTGTGCAAGCTCTGTGTGAGCGCTGCGGTGTGCAAGCTCTGTGTGAGCGCTGCGGTGTGCAAGCTCTGTGTGAGCGCTACTGTGTGCAAGCTTTGTCTGAGCGAGGCCTCTGTGTGCAAGCTCTGTGTGAGTGCTGCTGTGTGCAAGCTCTGTGTGAGCGCTGCTGTGTGCAAGCTCTGTGTGAGCGCTGCTGTGTGAAAGCCCTGTGTGAGCGCTGCTGTGTGCAAGCTCTGTGTGAGCGCTGCTGTGTGCAAGCTCTGTGTGAGCGCTGCTGTGTGCAAGCCCTGTGTGAGCGCTGCTGTGTGCAAGCTCTGTGTGAGCGCTGCTGTGTGCAAGCTCTGTGTGAGCGCTGCTGTGTGCAAGCCCTGTGTGAGCGCTGCTGTGTGCAAGCTCTGTGTGAGCGCTGCTGTGTGCAAGCTCTGTGTGAGCGCTGCTGTGTGCAAGCCCTGGGTGAGCGCTGCTGTGTGCAAGCTCTGTGTGAGCGCTGCTGTGTGCAAGGCATGTGTGAGCGAGACCTCTGTGTGCGCGCTGCTGTGTGTAAGCCCTGTGTGAGCTGCTGTCTGCCTGCGGAGCTGTGAATGCGGAGCTGCTGAGAGGAACAGCTACCGCAGGCAGGTCAGCGAGGTGTAAAGTAGATCTGGAAAGTTGGTTAACAAAGTGACCATATAGACAGATAGGAACGCCTACAACTGGTGAGAGAAAGAGTAATAAAGTGTAAGCAGGTGACTTGGATCAACGTATGATTCTACACGACACTACACTACTATAAAGTCACTATATACGACTGACTATTGTATGTAGGGTGTGTAGGTATATATGACTACAAAATAAAAATTGGCTGGGAGAGGGGGGGAAAATTTTTTTTTGAGAGTGGGGGGTTGACAATTTTTGGAAACCTTTTTGATCAACTATTTACCCCCCACTTTCTATTTTTTTTTTATTAAGGACGTCTGCAAGCCTCTTATAAGTTTGTTAACGGACAAATGGACAAGCGGAACGCCGGGCTGTCACAACAGATGCGTATTTGTGTATGTATATGTTATGTATTTTAAGAGAAGACAAGTATTGAAATATAGTTTTCCCCCAGTCACAGCCACGTACTTCCTGCCAGTATGACATAAAAAAAATACCTGCAATGAACTGTGTTGTGTGCAGGAACTGCAGCTTACGTGTTGATGTGGTTGTGTTTTGTGTGCAGGGCACAAAACAAAGTTGATTATTGAGGTTTTACGTGTTAAAGCTATAAATGTACATACAGATTACTCAGTCGGGACTTCATAGAGCAACGACATCGCTCCCTTCTGCGAAAATTTACCAGGGCCTCACTGCACCAGCGCTGGTACAGTGAGTACAGCGCTGTACTCACTGTAACAGCGCTGTTCTCTCACTGTACCAGCGCTGTTCTCTCACAGCACCAGCGCTGTACTCACTGTACCAGCGCTGTTCTCACTGTACCAGCACTGTTCTCTCACTATACCAGCGCTGTTCTCACTGTACCAGCGCTGTTCTCACTGTACCAGCGCTGTTCTCTCACTGTACCAGCGCTGTTCTCACTGTACCAGCGCTGTTCTCTCACTGTACCAGCGCTGTACACTCACTGTACCAGCGCTGTTCGCACTGTACCAGCACTGTTCTCTCACTGTACTAGCGCTGTACACTCACTGTACCAGCGCTGTTCTCTCACTGTACCAGCGCTGTTCTCTCACTGTACCAGCGCTGTACTCTCACTGTACCAGCGCTGTACTCTCACTGTACCAGCGCTGTACACTCACTGTACCAGCGCTGTTCTCTCACAGCACCAGCGCTGTTCTCTCACAGCACCAGCGCTGTACTCACTGTACCAGCGCTGTTCTCTCACTGTACCAGCGCTGTTCTCTCACTGTACCAGCGCTGTTCTCTCACTGTACCAGCGCTGTTCTCACTGTACCAGCACTGTACACTCACTGTACCAGCGCTGTTCTCTCACTGTACCAGCGCTGTTCTCTCACTGTACCAGCGCTGTACTCTCACTGTACCAGCGCTGTACTCACTGTACCAGCGCTGTACTCTAACAGCACCAGCGCTGTACTCACTGTACCAGCGCTGTTCTCTCACTGTACCAGCGCTGTACTCACTGTACCAGCGCTGTTCTCTCACTGTACCAGCGCTGTACTCTCACTGTACCAGCGCTGTTCTCTCACTGCACCAGCGCTGTTCTCTCACTGTACCAGCGCTGTACTCACTGTACCAGCGCTGTTCTCTCACTGTACCAGCGCTGTACTCACTGTACCAGCGCTGTTCTCACTGTACCAGCGCTGTACTCACAGCACCAGCGCTGTACTCACTGTACCAGCGCTGTACTCGCCTGGGGATGACATCGGTGTCGATGGAGCAGCGCAGATCCACGGAACTCTCCCCGCCTTGAGTCTCGCGGAGCCGTGGGTCGCAAAGCAGTGACGTCAGGTAACCAGCGGCATGGGCAATGACGTCATGTAACCAGCTGCATGGGCAGTGTCGTCATCTAACGAGCCGCGTGGAGCGAACGTCATATAACCAGCGGCGCAAACGGTGATATGACGTCATCGTAAATTTTGTTTATACTTAAAACTATCTGTACTACCCGGCTTCGCCCGGGACTTGGATTCACCACGGGCGACCGCCTTTGTCTCCCCAGTGGCGATGTTCACACACCACACCAGTTACTCGTTTCAGGCTGAGTCGACCTAGGGGAGGCCCAGGACCGGTTCAAATAATCGTCACCGGTGGTGGCCGTGAGCGGGAATCACTTTTCAGTGTCAGTTTATTTATTATGGTATAGCCCTGTGAGCAATTCGGCTCTTGAATCGGGTGCAACCACAACAAACAAAAACACGAACAAGAAAAACATCTTAATGTGACTGTGCAAACAGAAAATGCATTAAAAAAAACAGCAAAATATTCCTGAAAAATGCACCGTACACCAACGCTGTGTGCAAAAAATCCCAGTGGGATGCAAGTCAAACAACAACCACAAGAAAACTTAGATTAAGGCCATCAGTCTAACTCCGTGTAGAGTAGTAGTTAGTGACGTCATGTCACGCTCGCCCTCCGGTACGATGTCACATATGGTGACGTCATGGACAGGGGGCGGGACGGTGACATCATGTCCCCCTGGGATATTTAGGTTGGGACCCGTGACGTGTTCGAGGTCGTTGCAGGGAGCCAGGAACGTGTGAAGTTGGGACCCAGGGTAGGGGGGAATTAGCACCAGGCTAGAGTAGCCTGGGCGTGTGCTAGGGACTTCCCCAGTACCCTTCCCCTGGGGGAGCGATGGGACCCCGGGGTAGGGGGAAATCAGCACCAGGCTAGAGTAGCCTGGGGGTGTGCTAGGGACCTCCCCAGTACCCTTCCCCTGGGGGAGCGATGGGACCCCGGGGTAGGGGAAATTTAGCACCAGGCTAGAGTAGCCTGGGGGTGTGCTAGGGACTTCCCCAGTACCCTTCCCCTGGGGGAGCGATGGGACCCCGGGGTAGGGGGAAATTAGCACCAGGCTAGAGTCGCCTGGGGGTGTGCTAGGGACTTCCCCAGTACCCTTCCCCTGGGGTGTGGAGTGTAGGCAGTGAGCGTGCAGTACACGGAGTCGTGTATAAAGAAAGTCCTTAAAACAACTGGCGCAAGCCCCTACATGAAGATTTGCCTCCGAGTCATCATTTACGTCTCTACATCCGTACTACAACAAAACAAACATGTCCAAACCAAAAAACTTTTCGAAATCACCAAAAAATAAAGCCATAATTGCAACGTAACAGTGATTACAGGGACTGTGACCGAATTTTTACAATAAACTAGTGAGGGAAAAAAGTATTTGATCCCCTGCTGATTTTGTACGGTTGCCCACTGACAAAGAAATGATCAGTCTATAATTTTAATGGTAGGTTTATTTGAACAGTGAGAGACAGAATAACAAAAAAATCCAGAAAAACGCATGTCAAAAATGTTATAAATTTATTTGCATTTTAATGAGGGAAATAAGTATTTGACCCCCTCTCACTCAGAAAGATTTCTAGCTCCCAGGTGTCTTTTATACAGGTGTAGTGTGTTCGAATTAGGTGCACACACACAGCTTGGAGGCAACACTTTATTAGAACGGTAATATAACACTGTACATAAGGTGGTGACCACCTTCAACTCACTAACACTCTGGAACACTATACAGCGTGACCCAGGCAGGCAACGGGCTGCCTGGTCCCAGACAATGACCCGGGACTTGAGGATCGATGATGTCGTCTTCACTTCGGGGTTGAACAGCCCCGCTCTGCCTTCACACCCCGCTTATAACCGCTCTGGCGTGGCGCGCTCCGCCCAGGCCACGCCTCCCTTCCCCCACCTCTGGGAAGGTCCGGGTGCTCCACCACGTGACTCCCCAGGCACCCCCTTGGGGCCCTCAGTCCTCGTACGGGCCTACACAGTAGTGACGTTCTATGTCACTACACGGGTAACGAGCTGAGATTAGGAGCACACTCTTAAAGGGAGTGCTCCTAATCTCAGCTTGTTAGCTGTATAAAAGACACCTGTCCACAGAAGCAATCAATCAAAATTCCAAACTCTCCGCCATGGCCAAGACCAAAGTGCTCTCCAAGGATGTCAGGGACAAGATTGTAGACCTACACAAGGCTGGAATGGGCTACAAGACCATTGCCAAGCAGCTTGGTGAGAAGGTGACAACAGTTGGTGCGATTATTCGCAAATGGAAGAAACAAAAAAGAACTGTCAATCTCCCTCGGCCTGGGGCTCCATGCAAGATCTCACCTCGTGGAGTTGCAATGATCATAAGAACGGTGAGGAATCAGCCCAGAACTACACGGGAGGATCTTGTCAATGATCTCAAGGCAGCTGGGACCATAGTCACCAAGAAAACAATTGGTAACACACTACGCCATGAAGGACAGAAATCCTGCAGCGCCCGCGAAGGTCCCCCTGCTCAAGAAAGCACATATACATGCCCGTCTGAAGTTTGCCAATAAACATCTGAATGATTCAAAGGACAACTGGGTGAAAGTGTTGTGGTCAGATGAGACCAAAATGGAGCTCTTTGGCATCAACTCAACTCCCGTGTTTGGAGAAGGAGGAATGCTGCCTATGACCCCAAGAACACCATCCCCATCGTCAAACATGGAGGTGGAAACATTATGCTCTGGGGGTGTTTTTCTGCTAAGGGGACAGGACAACTTGACCGCATCAAAGGGACGATGGACGGGGCCATGTACCGTCAAATCTTGGGTGAGAACCTCCTTCCCTCAGCCAGGGCATTGAAAATGGGTCGTGGATGGGTATTCCAGCATGACAATGACCCAAAACACACGGCCAAGGGAACAAAGGAGTGGCTCAAGAAGAAGCACATTAAGGTCCTGGAGTGGCCTAGCCAGTCTCCAGACCTTAATCCCATAGAAAATCTGTGGAGGGAGCTGAAGGTTCGAGTTGCCAAACGTCAGCCTCGAAACCTGAATGATTTGGAGAAGATCTGCAAAGATTAGTGGGACAAAATCCCTCCTGAGATGTGTGCAAATCTGGTGGCCAACTACAAGTAACGTCTAACCTCTGAGATTGCCAAAAAGGGTTTTGCCACCAAGTACTAAGTCATGTTTGCAGAGGGGTCAAATACTTATTTCCCTCATTAAAATGCAAATCAATTTATACCATTTTTGACATGCGTTTTTCTGGATTTTGTTGTTGTTATTCTGTCTCTCACTGTTCAAATAAACCTACCATTAAAATTATAGACTGATCATTTCTTTGTCAGTGGGCAAACGTACAAAATCAGCAGGGGATCAAATACTTTTTTCCCTCACTGTACATAAATAACATGTAACACCAAATCATATAGCCATAGCTGGCTGCATGAGTTACTCAACAACAACAGAAGCATCAGTCGGAGTATCAAATTTTTCAATGCACCTTTAAGATCAGCACGCTAAATCAAAATACAGGTAATCCTTTGCAGCGTCATCCGGAGCGAAACATTTTATTTTACGCCAATAAATAGCAGTGGCAGCTAGGGGTATACAACTCCTCTAAAGCAGTTTTGAGAGAAGATCTCATTGGTAGCGATTCAAGTTGCAGTTTATTCGCAATAGCATTCCAGACCCTGGGGGCATCAACAGTAAAGGCCCTTCCTCGAACTTGGGTCGCCGGGTTCGTAGCGTGGCGCGCGAATCGCTACGCCGTGGCGGCCCCCCCCCCCCCCCCCCACAGGATAAAGACAAAAATCCCCCCGTGTAGCCTGTGAGACTGTAGGGTGCAAGTGCTGTTAGCGAGCACCTATGAAGGCCGGCACGACACACGAGGGGGTGGGTGGCCAGCACCACACCCGGCCGCCTTTGTCCCCCCAGTGGCGATGTTCACACAGCACAGCAGTTGCTCGTTTGATGCTGAGGCGACCTAGGGGAGACCCAGAAGCGGTTGAAATAATCGTCACCGGTGGTGGCCGTGAGCGGGAATCGAACTCGGGTCACCGGGTTCGTAGCGCGGCGCACTCACCACTACACTACAATGCGTTACGCTTCCACATGCGCGGGTCACATGACACATTTGACGTCACAGCTCACTTGCCGTACAAAAAATGCACATTATTGAGCTCTCCCCCCCCAAAAAAAAAACTAAAGTGTATTTTTATCATTTTTGCATGGTGTACAGTCTGGAAAGTATCCACATGGCAAATTTCCAGTTTGTTGCATGTCGGGAAGTACGCTAAACATTTTGAACAGACACACATTCACAACTTTGCCTTTTATATATATGGAGATTACAATAACTATTTTTATTTTACCAGGTCAGGCCCACTGAGCTAATATAGCTCCTGTTCAGATGCGACCTGGCCACAAAAGATAGCTCAACGAAGTGGTTTATCATCATGTGGAAATGTATAGCAGCCAAATACTCTAAACGCGTGATGTTGGCTCTAAATGTAGACGGAAAAAACGGAGAAAAATCCACGCAGTTTTAGTTCAGTTCATTTTGAAGTAATCTGTGAGCTATGAAGCTCTTAAGTCGGGTTTCATCAATAAAAAAACCCCACACCGTGTCTGTGACAGACATAAGAGAAAAATAAATTTATAATACAAATGAATAAATAAAAAAGAAGTTATATAATAGTTATATAATTTTAAATATAAAATTTATCTTTTAAAAGTTTTCAGCCAAGTAATACATTTAAAAAGTGCAAGACTGGTCGTAACAAGTGCCAGGGGTAAAACACAAAAATTTGCCAAGAAACACATCAAATCTCGAATGAAATTTACAGATATCTCGAAAATATAAATGTGCCATCACCAACAAAGACATACACCGAGCAAAACACAGCAGCATAAAAAAGTAGTAGTGCAGACAACGCGCAAGACAAAAAGGTTACTTGCAGGTGTAGTGGATTCAACTGAGTTGCAGACGTACTTCTTGGAGGCAACACATAATTATTAACACCAACACATAACACGAAGAGGTTACTGCCCCTTTACCAGATAACCTATGGTGGTGAACTTAC